CTTTTTCCATGGGTCCCAGCCAGAAGGTGCTTTAGTCTTGTGGCGGCTTTCAGGCCTTGCTCTGGGCCAGTCCCTTTTGGGTGGACTTTTGCCCACGAGGGGAGGGGTCACTTCAGGGGTTTGATTTAGAAATTATGTTCATACAGGGGTCAGAGCGTGCCCCTCCCCCGAGTGTGCCCAGGCGGGCTCACAGCGGCCATCCTGTTTGTCACCCCTCTGCCTCCTCAACACGGGCTAAGCTCCTCCCCGAGACATGGCTGCAGCTGCCCCCCCCCCGCTGGCCCTCCCCATCAGCTTCCTGAGCCGCCCCCTCCCCCATTCCGAAAGGCAGTGTGGGGAGAAGAGCCCCTCCTCTTACAACCACGATGTGCTGCAAACTCACCCGCACACCTCCTGCTACCGTGGCCTTCCCGAGGCCCACCGGCCACTTGTCTGTGGGGTATCCCTGGGGAGCCCCCCTCAGGCCCAGACAAGCTGGCCTCCCGTCTCCAGGCAAGCCCCTGCTCCCAGCACTGAGCTCTGCTGCTCGGCAGCCTTCCAAGCAGGGAAGGCCTCGTGCACCCCACAGTGGCCGGGGCCCCAGAATGCCAAGCAGGGATGTCGGGGCCCCTTCCTTTCCCTCTGACCACAGTGAGCCCCAGTTGGGGCGGCACTCCTTGCAACAGACATCTGCCTGTGCAGTGTGGGGAGGGGCATCAATGTCAAAGCCAATGGAGCCTGTCGGGGTGCTAAGTGGCGTGCTCCCCTCACCCTGGCCGCCCTGAAGCCAGGTGCACCCTCCGGGAAGGTCTCAACTAGCAGTCAAGGTTCCGGATTGCAGGGTCGGCTTCTAGAAGCTTCCTTTCTTAAAGGACTTATTTGCACCAAATAAGTCATTGTGGAAGCAGGAAGAGTGGGAATCGCCGGTCAGCGGTGAAAACTGCCCCTAAATGACCAGCAGGGGTCGCCCGCACCCGCTAATGTCAGCTCGCTGGGCTGAGTGTCTTTCTGGGTGCTGGGTCAAGGTGTGTCCAGTCACGGGGTTTCCGTGGCATCCACAGCAGCGCCCCCCTCCCATAAACAGCCCTCCACAAATGCCCTTACCTGAGATTTTGACGGGACTTTGGAAGCTGGGTTGGATTTTATGGACATTATCATTTCTTAACACCTGGTCCAGGGGAGACCTTTCGAAGAAGGTGAGCACAACCTCGGACCTGGAATACTGGGAAGGAAGCATCCATCACAAAGGGGGGCTCCTTTAGCCAGGTGGCCCCGGCCCCACTCAGCTTGAAGGGCCTTTGCCCAATCTGTCTGGCACAGGTTCTGGAAAAGCCAGGAGCTGCTTTCCAGTGAGGACAGTTTATTGGGGGGGGGGGGGGGGTCACATAGCAGGCGAGAGCTGGCCCCTGCCCTGAGCCTCACTTGGGGTAAGAGGGGCAGACGCCCTGGTTTATGGGGTCCATCACCAGGGTGGTGACGTAGTCCAGCACAGTCTCAAGACCCTCACGCACCCACAGGTGCTCTACCTGGGCTCAGGTCTGGCCCCCCACCCCCCAAGGGACACACCCCACTGACTCCACTCTCAGGCAGGACCTCATTCAGGGCCCCCCAGGCCTGCAGACGTGACCCTGCTGTTCAGAACCTTCATGAACTGCTCTTGGGGACCAGCAGAGCCAAGCCCAGGTCCTTACTCCCCCCAAAATGCACGAGCTTCATCTGCAGCCTCCGCAGAGTGGGGTACATCACTCCTGAGCTCCCACAGCCCTGTTCTAAACCCCCATCAGTGACACCCTGGGTTTCTGAGCAAAACAGCTTCCGCCCAGGAGCTGCCTCCCCCCCACACCTCCCTGCCCCCCCACTCCTCCTTCCCACCCGAGGGATGAGGACAGAGCCGGCAGGCAGGGGCAGGGCGGGAAGCCGGTGGGGGCACAGGGTACCTTGCAGGGGAGGCTGATGACGGTCTTGAGCAGTTTCTCCACCTCGTTGAGCCGCATCTCTATGTCTCGGGCCTCCTTGATGGCCACCAGCCCTGGAGTTGAGAAGCAAGGGGCCTGTGTCAGGGAGACAGCCCGGGACGGGGGCCCTGGCGTGGGCCAGGATCAGCCCCACCGGGAGTCGAAAGCCCAGCGCTAAACCCCATTCACCTTGCAGGGGCTCAGGGAGCCATGTGCCTGCGGGCGTGTGGGGGCCACGCTGGAGCGACCCCCCCAAAGATGCAGCCGATGCCACACGCAGACCATCAAAGACCCTCCGCGGGGCGGCCAGGGGCCCCCTAAACTCCCACCCAGGGCGAGCGCCGGGAGACCGCGCACCCAGACGCAGCAGGCTGACACCCATGGCCGGCTGTGCGCCCCCGGCCTGGCCCGCTTCAGGCCAGCCGGTAAGTGCTCGGTCTGGGAGGAAGAGGCGATTTTTAGCCAAAGCGGCGGGACCCCCTGCTTTCCCAGAAGCCGGTGTGCGTCAGTTACAGTTAGCAGAAGTCCCACGGCTATTTGAAAGTGCAGCGTTTTTGTTTTTTAAATAGACAGTTTGGGGCATGGAAAGTCGGGGTGCATTTCTGTCTACCGGGAGCAGGACACAAGTCTCCCCGTTCCACAGCACCAGCTTCTCAGGGACCGGGGATGGGAGGCCCACAGACACTGGTTGCTCCCACACTTCCCGTGACCCCACATGCTCCAGCCGAACCCCAGCAGCAATCAAGTCCAGGCAGCCCACGGGCGCCCCAAGCTATTCCCAGCCGCCCCGTCTGAGGCCCCCAGATGCTCTGGTTCCCTCTGATCTACCGGAGAACGTGCTGGTGGTTCAGATAACTTGCACACCGAGTCTATGACACGATGCGAAACACTCCTGAACTATGGGATTAAAATGAAGACACCCCGCGTCACAATGTCCGTGGAAACCAGGGGTGTCTCTTCCCTGACACAGGTCCCAAAGCCTGGGCCGGAGTGGGGTGTCCTGCACCCCACCAGTGGGAGCCCAGGCAAGAGGGAGCCCCACTTCCTAGGGCCCAGGCTGGAGCCTCTGTCTATAGCCAGGGCACTTGCACTGAAATGCGGACACCTTGGGGTCCCGCACTTCTCTGGCAACCTTATCTGCTTTCTGGCCTGCTTTCCAGAAAAACCTGGCCAGGCCCCCAGGAGCCGGACCTCAGCTTAGCGCACACACTGGCCCAGCGTGACTGACCCCAGAGGCCCAGCCCCCCAGACACATCCCACCTCCAGGGTCCCCTGCAGGAAAACCCCACTTGCCCTCAAGGCTGCGAATCTCCTCCGGGAAGCCTCCCCCAAGCTATGGGGTTGGGGGGCTGACTGCAGGCTCCAGAGAATGTCATCCCGACCCCCGCGGGTTCCCCATGCCGCATCTGCCATCCCTGGCTCAGGGGTCTCCCCAGGTCCGAGTGCACCTGAGGACAGGGTGCAGTTAGCACAGCACTCGCCGGCGGACCCGGCCCCCAGGACCCAGGCCCGGGGCCAGGGAGACCCCCGCCTCCCTCAGAGCCGGGCCTGCTGAGCCACGCCCTCCTGGAAGAATAGGACTGTTGCCTCCTTTTTTCATCTCTGGTTCCAGAAAGAGAAGCCCCATCAGGGCTGCTGGAGGCCAGTCATTCTGGGGTGGGGTCAACTCTCCGAAGCCTGCCCCCCTTTCTCTGAGGATGGCCATCCACCGGGTGGCCAGGAGCACAGTTCTCCAGGAGGGGCTGAGAAAGGCCAGGTTGGAAGTGATGGCTTCAGCTGAACCCCAGAACCTGCCTAATGGCAGCAGAGCAGGGCCCCCTCGCCTGCACGGGCCCCAGGATGGTTCTGGGGGGAGACCCTGACTTCCATGCAGATCAGGGCCCCGAACCACAGCCAAGTGGCTTCCACAGCCAGCCCTCAGAGGACGCCAGCCCTCAGGCTCCTTCCCCGGCCCTAATTATCACACCACACCAATGGCGTGTAAACTAGAGGACACCTTACAAAAACCCCGAAACTGTCCGCGAGGGCCACAGTGCAGAATCACAGTCGACCTGCATTTTCAAGTTCCTGATGGCTTATTTTTAGGGGTTCCTGCCCTCTGGTTTCTCCCCCTCACTGTGGAGAGGTGAGCCTTAAACAGCTGCTGGAGAGACACCCCCCCCCCAATATTACTATGAACTCTCAATACACTGAAGGGTAACAGAACCCGCCAGCGGACGTCCAGTCACCTGCTGACCCATCGGCTGTCGTTTTCCTTGGGGACCCGAGAGCTCGGGCCTGGAACTTCCCCCAGGTACCAGCTGTTCACCGTGAAGAGTGGTTTTAAGTTTCCCGAAATTTAGCTCCAATGCGGTAATTTAGGGTTAGCTAAAACTTAGTTTGTATATTCCAAACACTGCTGGCAAGATGAGAATTCCGTGGGGATCTTCCCTGGCTCGTTTTGACTCCCTGAGGTCGCAATGATAAAAGGTGCCCAGTGGGTTACCAGCATTTGCCCAGTTGAGCAGAAAAACCTGCCAGCAGGTTCCTCTTCGCAATGAGGCTGTCGTTCCCGGTCTGGCCAGCAGGGGGCGCGAGCACCCTGTGAACCTGCCTGAATCCTCTTCGCCTTGGGGGTGGGGGGGTGTTCTCATTTAAGTTCTGACTTTCCTTGCCCCCTGGAAACTTCCTAATTTCGGATACAGCCACTAAGAGCACCTCTGCTTTTAAAATCTCACACCCTAGGGCCCTCCCTGGAGGCGCAGCGGGTTAAAGCACAGCACTAAGAAGCTAAAGCCACTTCCGCATGAGTTCAATCCCTGCCTGCCCCGGAGGTGACCACATGGCGCCGCAGACCTCTCCTGACTCATCAGCTGGTCCCCTCAGCAGTGTGCTTCCTCCACTGCCTGTTCTGCTCCCCACTCTGTCTCTGGTGAAGCCTCTCCGTGCCCCTGCACCTCTGGCCTGTACCCCAGTTCTGTATGCACAAATAAATAAATCGTTCTTTTAAAAAAATCTCACACTTTACAATTTGTGAGGATTTTAAAATCCAGGTTTAACCCAAACAGTTAAGACTTAGAAACCAAGACAGACAGACCATCCTCTCGGGTATAAAATTTCAGTGTGCCAATCTGTTTTGCGAGCTGACCAGAGGGGCCGAGAGGCCTTCTCGTTAAGGCTGTGTAGCCTTGAACACCCAGAACGCAAAAGGCATTTCGGATGGTTTCAGGATTCACTTCTTCATCGGAATACAGACACCTGCTGTGTTCTTGGAACCCCACGTGGACATTCCGGTGTCAGCGCAAAGCTCATCCCAGTCTGGGGAATGCGGGCCCAAAGTCCCTCTTGCTCGGTGAGTGGAGGGTCCAGGACGGACCCCTCTGGTGCCGGACCCCGGCTTCCCCCCAGAAAGTCTCGGACCTCTCAAGGGCTGATCTAACTCAAGCGCCGCAGCTGCCTGGTTCTGTGAGTTGAAGGAGGCGTCAGTGGGGAGGGGGCTGCCCCTTTGGAAGCACAAAGGAGCGACTTTCCCCGGCGAACTCTGCCTCTGGCCCAGCGGAACCCTCAGGAAAGCAGATTACAGGGGCCTCGCTGGTGGCCCAGGAGATGAGTCTCAGCGCTGTCACCTCTACAGCCTGAGCTGGATCCACCGCCAGGGAGCTGACCCACAGGGCGCGGCAGACCTCTCCTGTCTCCCCGCTGTTCCCCTCAACAGTGTATTTCAGTCCATCTGCCTGTTCTGCACCCCACTCTGTCTCTGTGAATCCTCTTACCCCCACACCTCCGGCCTGCACCCAGCTCTATGCAAAAAAGACAAGCAGGACCTCATGAAGGGGATGCCATGGGCGGGGCCTGCTCCCTTGGGGACCCCGACTGGGTTATGCATCCAGGCCTGGCATTCCCCAGGGACTTGTTCCCGAGCCTGACCCCACCAAGCACCAAATTCCAGCTTCTGGACCAACAGACTCCGGCATGGTCCACCCGTCTAGCAGCAGGGACCCACTTTATGGGCCCCTCTGGGGGTGCAGAGATGCCCCTTCTTCCCCTCGGTCCAGCAGCCGCTTACCCACCTTCCCCGCCGGCTCTAAGTCACTCATTAGCAAAGGCCACTGAAGACGCCGCCTTTACCACAGATGTGCAGGAAGCCGGTGTGGGACGGGCTGGAGGCGCCAGGCTGGAAAATGACCTCCCAGCGAGAGGGTGTGGCCGGCCGTGGGTCAGCCAGAAGCCAGAGAACAGACCCCCGGGGCTGGCCCTGTCCTGCCCGCCATGGACAGGAGCCCCATCTCGGTGCTCTGGGGGCTTCTTATGCCTTGTCAGTGACCGAGGTGACCCCTAGACGCCCACTGTCAGCCAGGCCTGCGAGAGTGGACACTGATGCCCACGGGGGCAGACGACGGGCAGCCGCTGGACCCCCAGCTGAGGAGCTCGAGGCCGGGGTCCGTGTTACCCCGTGGGCCCAGCCTGCTGCGTCCCACTCCGGCCTGGAGTCCCCACTCCCGCCTGGAGCTGCCCACCAGCCCTGCTCGGCGTCCAGAGACGTGGGTCTCACGCACCTTAACTCCAGTTGAGCCTCCCCATCCTGGCGGCTCCTGACCAGGTCCATTTTAGCCTCTGGGAAAATCAACAGGCAGCAGAGAAACCGACTCCTGTGGCAAAGCGGGCGAGGGGGAGCAGGGCGGGGGAAGGGCACACCCCCAAGATGCTGCCAGTGGTTCAGGCGCTCTGATCCTGACCCAGACCCACTCCCCTGAGTAAGCAAGCCCCCTAAGCCCCCTGAGAAGTGAGAACCATTCCTGTTGGAAGGGGCAGGTGCCCTGAAGTGAAGCTGGGGAGCTGGGGGGCAGGCCCCCCCAGCCTGCTCCCTGCTAGCTGTGGTGTCCCAAGTCCCTGCCCGGCTCTGCAGAACCTGGTGGTCTCTGCTCGTTCGGTCCCTGCTGCTGTATGGTGGGGGTTGGGGGGCTGGGCAGGGGGCCCTCCCTTGTCTGGAGGAGTGAACGCGTGGTCAGGCCTGGGGACGGGCACAGCCGTGTGGCCTGCGTGGGCACCCAGGGGCGATTCTGTGTCCAGGCCCTACGGCTGGTCCCACCCGCTGGGCCTCGTCTCGGGGAAGGGCTTTCTGCTCCCAGGCCCAAGCCCCCATGTGGCTGACCCCCTCCCCCACATCTGGTCTGCGTGAGCCCCATGTCGTCCCTCCAGACCACCCTCACATCTGGGTCTGTGCCTCCTGCCGCCCTCCACCTCCTCAGCACAGCGGCCAGTGCTGAGTCAAAGGGCGCACTCCTCCACACGGAGGAGCACCCCAAATCTGAAGGTCCTCTGAGCCGCCCACCCCCAGCCTGCTCCTGCTGCTCCCCACCTCCTTGCTGCCATTCTAGTCACAAGACCCCTGGACACACACCGCGGGGTACACAGGGCCTGGGGTGCCGCACTGCTCAACCTCGGCCTGGGGTGCCGGCCCCAGGTCTCCGGGGGCCCCTCCTCCCTCCGTTCCCTACCCCACCCCCGACAGTGGGCCAGCCTGCCCCTCTCGTGCCGACTAGCTTTTCCTTCGAATATATATTATTTGCTTATCTTGCTTATTACTGAACTTCTCCGAACCAGGGTGCACGTTACGGGCAAGGATTTTCCTGTTGAGTTCACTGCTGCGTCCCGACCACAAGAGTAACGCCCCAGTAGGCACCCAGGGGTCACCTGCTGGGCGGGTGGGTGAGTGCGTGGGGGGAGGTGGGCTGGGAGGGAAGCTGGCGATTTCACAGTCAGCAAAAATCAGCCGCCCGGCTGCTGGTGGGGTCTGCTGCTGTAGGGGTGACCAGCCAGCCCAGGGGTCACGAGGCCTGGAGTACCCGCTACGACAAAGGCCCCAGTGAGCCCACCCGCCCCACACTCCAAGGGGAAACCGCACGTGTGGGCTTCAAGCCACCCGTCCGGGGGGCGGGACAAGACAGACGTGGCCCGCGGCCACAGCCACCACGTGGCCAGGCAGGCCTGAGCCGCGGCACTGTCCTCAGCAGGGTGCCATGACAGGCTGGGTGCCACTGGATGCGTCTAGAGAAAGGAAAGGGGAACACCTCGGTCACCCCAAGAGAAGACCACAGAAGGCAGCTGCCTCCCCGCCCTGCGCGGGACCTGTATCAGGAGAGGGTGGGGGCAGAAGGACTTGCCTGGAGGCCGAGGAGGGGCGTCGGAGAGCCCAAGCCCCTCCCGGCTGAGGTCTCCACGTCCCTGAAGCCCACGTCACCAGGCCGGGCAGCCCTGGGCGTGCAAGAGGCGGCTCCTCGCCTGGTCGACCGTCTGTCTCCCTGGCCCCTCCCAGGCCAGGGAGCGGGCTGCCCCCTTTACTCAGGCAGATTCAAAAACTCGAAAGGGGGCCTTGCTGTGCCCGCTGAGGGTGTCCCAGTTTACCCCAAAGCCTCGCCCGGCACCGCAGCACCATGCACCCAGCCAGAGTCGGTGCCACCCGGTGGGCGCCCCGGCGCTGACAGTCTGTGCGTCCACACCATCTCCTGTGCGGGTAACCTTGTGGAAACTCGGTGGGCGCTCTCTCCCCCACGAACAGGGGTGCACTTTACTCCACAATTTCCTGAACTTAGTGGGACCAGAGGAAGGAAAAGAACTTAACTGGGGTTGTACAGGGACCCCCGGGGGTGCGGGGGCAGCTGGCTTCCTCGCTGGGCTTGGCCAGCGGTTCCCTGCAGGCATGTACCCCCAGAGAGTGCGTTTTTGACACCCCGAGGTTTGCAGCGACCCCCCCACCCCACCCCAGCGACGGGCCACCTGGCCGAGCCATTTTCCAGCGAGCAGCAGGGGCTGCCCTGTGCCGTCCTTCCCTGAAGGTCTGTGCAGGTTCCCAAAGGCCGAGATGGCACGTAAACGTAACCCTCAGTGTGCCGGGAAGCCAGAACTTCACGGACGCTCTCTGTGGACACAGTCACTTGCGGGGGGCCCTCCTAGCCTCTGTGTGCTGTCCTCCCTGGCAGTGGCGAACCCCAGCCCAGCCCCACTCACCAGCCAGGACAGAGCCGGGCGCAGGGAGTGGAGATTTCAGCTCACCTCCTCCTGCCCCGGCCAGGGGCTCTGCCCCTTCCCAGGCTGCTGAGGCCACAGCCTCCTGCCTGCAACCTCCTGCGCCAGCTGATGCTGAGGGGCCCAAACCTGCTTGCCCTGGCGAGACACCTGCCACCCGCTGGACCCTCACCAAACCCAGGTGGGCGCGGGCAGAGGTCAGATGGGGATCCCTGTGCCAACCAGCCTGCAGGGTTCCCGTGCTGGCCACCTGACCGCAGTGAGGCCTGGTGGGCCGGGGAGGGCAGGGGCGTCCGTGCTGTTGCAGACGGACGGAGCTCCTCACAGACAGCGCCGTTCTTCAGCTAAGAACTACAGCCAAGCTTCCCTGACCTGGGCATTCATTTGTTAAATGACATGGATGACCACACACACCCCTAAAGAGCAAACCCAAGGAAACCCGCTGCCGCGCTTGAAACCACACCAAGCTACTTCCAGAACGGCACTAAAGGGGGCTGGAGGCGGGGGGAGCCTGGCCAGCACACCCTCGCGCTCAGGCCTCGCTACCTGCAGGCCTGGGAGCCTTTCCAAGCAGCGTGCCGGCCAGAGGGCGCGTCCCCAGAGGCCGGCTGGTCGCGCAGACAGGCAGGGGCGGTGGCTGTCACAGGGGCCAGGAGGCCACCCCAGCCCCTGGGCACACTGGCAACTAAGGAGACGCCCAGCAAGCACAGCCCTCCAGCCAGTGCCCTAGTGTGGCCCTAAGGGTGCCCCCAGGGCTCCGGAGAGTCATGCAGAGAGGCTTCTGCGGGAAGGGTCCTCATTCTCAGAGCCTTGGGTGGTCACATACTGGGGAGCAGGGGACGCTCAGAAGCCCCACGTCCAAGCCCTCCTGGCTCCACCTCAGTCTGGCCGCCTCTGCCTCCTCCTCCCTCTCCAGCTCAGAAGGAAACTTGAGCCCCCACAGGGCAGGACCTGCCACGAAGCCAAGGAGGCCACGGCAGTTAGCCAAGGCCAAAGGGACCCACCCTGGGGCGGGAACCGTCTATGTGGAGTGGCCTTCGCCTGCCCAGCAATGACAGGGCGGGGGCCCCTGACACTCAGGCTGGGCCCTCACGGGGGAGGATGCAACACAACCCCCACGCCGCCCAGTCCTCACTCTCCCCTCCCAGCAGCCAGGGCTTGCAGCCTGGGGGTCCCCCCCCCCTCCTGAGGGTGCTGAGGGAGGCGGCCACCTTCTGAGCCGGGCCTGTCCGGCCGCTGAGCGTCCCTGCTGACAGTCGAGCGCCCGCGGTCCCTGCGCAGACCCCTCCTGCCTTCCACGGCCGCCCGGGATCCTCTGGGGGGTGGCGGGTCCAAGTGTCCTCAGCCCCCCAACCGCGTTTGAAGTAACTTCCCCTTCCTTGCACAGCCCTGTAAGCCAACCCCGTGACCCGTCCCCCCTCGGCCCGCCCGCCGCCCCCTCCGGCCGGGCCCCCCAACCTTGCCGCAGCGGCACGCGCGCCAGCTCGGGCCGGTCCTCGGGGAAGGCGTCGCGGAGCCGCCGCCACAGGCGGCCCAGGTCGGCCAGGCTGCGGTGCAGGTAGAGCACGCTGCGGTCCGACCACTCGGTGCGGATCTCGAAGAACTCCTCCTCGTCGCCGCGCCGGCTGACCACCAGCCGGCGGACGCCGTTGACCCAGCAGCCGCGCACGAACATGTTCACGAGGGACGTGCCCTCAAACACCGCCGACGCCATGCCGCGGCCCGCGCATGCCCCCGCCCCGTGGGCCCCGCCGGGTCCCTCCGACGTCTGCTGGGGCCGGCCGGCCCCTCCGCGGTCTGTCCCGGGCCGGGCTGTCTGGAGCCGGCTCCGCCTGGGGCGGAGAACCCCACCGGGGTCTGGCGAGAGTCGGGGTCACTCCGAAGTCGGGGTCGCCGC